GCGGGAATTACTAGACTACAATACTCATATAAATAGGTCATGGCTCAACAATCGATAAGCATATCTTAGAGTCATAATCTTTCTATTAACATGCTTAGCATACTCACATCTGATGCATGCTTTCATACGTTTATAATGTTTGACACATAGAACATTTTAGTAAATCATTTATAACATGCTTACATCAAAAGCAAACAGTCACAATATACGAATAGACATTTCATATCATCAAAACACATATTAACATACTAAGCTCTTAATCATGTAAACAACATACTCAATGTTGTAAAACAAGTTGAGAACTAGTTTAAAGAACGATATGCTACTTACCTGGTTTAGAACTCCTTTTTCTTTGGATGTACGTTTAATAAGGTATTTTAGCACAATTCCTTTCAATTAGACTGGGAAGCAAAATAACATCACACGCCCCCTCACGCACCTGCACACGCTCAGTGTGCTTAACCCATGCGCCAATCCAACGCCCAATTGCGAACTCCCCACACACCCTATGTGTACTGCACGCTCTTCGTCTTCAACCTCGCAATTCTTCCCAATTTTCCAACTTTTCTATTAATACCGATTATGTCCCAACCCATATTCCACCTCTACCGCATGTATTTTATCCCGACTCTTCTACAACTTTATAGATCTCCTTGTCACAATTCTAACAAGCTCTATTTTATAATGTATCACCCAATATAGACCTAAGATATCCAGATTTAAAAGTTCTGGCAAATAGGTATTCTTACCTTCGGATAAACGCTTAAATCGACTTAAATCTAGAGCTTCCATGGCTGAAAACCATCACAATCGTCTCCCCATCCTCAAATTTGCACGCTGTCACAACAAATGCCAAAGAACATTGAGGTTTATTGACAAGCACGGATTAGAACATCCTTCCCGTGTTTTCTGTTTCCCTCTTCCTCTGTTTTCTGTTTTTCCTTCTTTTCTGTTCTTCGTTTTTAATCCCACAACACAGTACCCTAACTTTTCACCAACACAACAATCTCATACCACCCTTCAACACCACCACACACTCCAACTGTCTTTCTTTTCTCCCTTCAATCCACCTGTACATTCCTCTCATTTTGATTTTTTATTATTAGTATTATTATTATTATTAACAAATATAAACACAGTAACATATACATCATTTTATTATTATTATTATTATTATTATTATTATTATTATTATTATTATTATTATTGGATTATTACACATTACCTGCTGCGTGTCCCTAAAAAGTTAGAAATTGAGGCCAAATGATGGATCCTGAAGTTGCTATAATCAACCTAACTAGATCAAACCAAACAGAGCCAGTTGGACTGAGACAAATCCGCTGAATCAGACAGGACTAGCAAAATGTGTATTTATATATATGTGATTGAATAGTTCACCCAAAATTATGAAGAAATATCTGATACCATGTTAATAATAAGAAATATGGTCGGAGATTGGAAGTTCAATTTTTCATATTCTTTAAATAGAATACAAACTAAATTTTAATAAAAGGAAATATTTTACTGAACAAATCTACAAAAATAAGATAAAATATATTAAATATACTATTGACTAAATTAAAGAAAAAAAAAATCCTTACCGAATATATAAAATATATTTCAATAGATATGTATATTGTGGCATGGTCAGGCATCATGATTTTAGAAAAGGTTTGTATTGACCAGCTAAACACAACTTATGTGAATCAAAACTTGTTTATGACCGGTTATCATGATCTTAGAAAACGTTTGTCTTCGCCGAACTTATGTAGAATCAAAACTTGTTCCGCCGCACACACCACCCGTGCATGCATATTCAATCGTCTATGACTCTAGCAGACTTGCTTCTATACTAAGTCAAGTCATCCGAACTTTTTTTTTAATTTAGGTGAAGGTCTCTCATATGCATTGTTACATCTCATTTCTTGCCATCTAGGCTTTCAACAACATGGCTTACATATTGTGATGTGATCCCAAGTCCTAGGATGTCATCAGCCATCATAGCTTGTTCGAACATAGCAATCAAGAATCAACCCATGAGTCAACTTATCATTAGGACATCTCGGACATCATCCATCTACATTATAGCGAGGTATGGACCATTCCAAATCAATGCTAAGTCATTTACGAATACCGTACCAGATAGCAGGTGACTATGTCGGCACAATCGTGTCGTCCGATATTGTCCTTAAAAAATTCATTTCAAAGCAAGACACAAGACGCCCATCTTGAATTGCTGTTCACATTATGACACACATATGTGCCCAGGGTAGCTCACATAGGCCACATGTCCTAGAGAGATATTTAGTCTATGGCACTATCCTTAAAAAATTCATTTCAAAGCAAGACACAAGACGCTCATCTTGAATCACTCGTTCACATTATGACACACGTATGTGCCTAGGGTAGCTCACATAGGTCACATGTCCTAGAGAGACATATTTAGACGGACAGGAGTAGTATCGATTTTGACGAATGTTTGACACTCTTGTCTACTTGTTGCTTTTATATTGTGTATGTCTCATCTTGGTTTCAATGCACATTTTTCTTGATTTATTGGATGATGCAATGTCCTTCTTGGTCATATCATGACACTTATCTGTCTTGGCTCTCACATGGTCGAATGAGTGTCTTTTGAAAGTTAAGAGTTACCGTTTGGTCGGTCTACATGTGAGGATGAGGAGAAAGATGTGAACTTGTACCGTCTGGTCTCTCACGTGAGTGTATGCAACCATGAGGAGAGAGATGTGGAGGAACTATGTGTCGATGTGAGGGTGAGGTAATCATTTAGTTGTTATTGAATGACTATAAAAATCTACTTTCCAAGTACACAAACCATGGATCGCCACTCACTAACACAAGATTTCAAAATACGATACAATAAGTTGATCAATTTAGGAACATGCATGTATTAACTTAAATCAAGATAAAACAGTACAAGTTCATACAAAAGACCATGAGAGACAAATTAAAACATATTCATGAAAGTCATCAAAAGTTAGACATCAAAACTCAAAACTACCTCTACCCCAATAGTCCCATCGCTCGTCAATGCTCTCAGCTCAAATGGGCAGCTTAATTTCCTGTCAATAAAATATGTTGCATAAACGAATTCAAAAATACTTAATAAGTAGTTCGTTAGTAAGATCCTACTTCGATCTTAAGTTATATGTCCTTGTTATGTATCTTATTAGTTACCTAGATGTCACACTTCTAATAAAGGAACCAATCAATTTAGGTAGAAAAAGATAAAAGAAAATCAAGAGAAAATAGGAAAAACACAAAAACTGAAACGAAATCCAGAAATTTTAAAAATAATAGTTGAATTTTGATGTCGACACGCTGGAATAGGCTCCAACTCATGCCCTGGAGGAAGCGAGAGAACATGCATGAAGCAATGGGGGAGAAACGCGTCCAGCAGAGGAGGGATCACGTGTTGACCTATTAAAAATACAAAAAAACTCAGAAAGGAAACATCGAAGCTGAGAATGCAGAAGGATGAGAAACGTGCGTCAAGAGCTACACGTGTGTCGTCCTATTAAAGCCAAGAGAACATCAGTGTCTGCTAGAGTTGGAAAGCAGGTCGGCTGGGAGCGGCTCTCTAACACGCATGTGAGGCGCGTGGAGGGTGAGTTTTTGTCTAATTCAACCTCCATTCAACTATTTTTCGTCCTAATTTCCTTATTCACCTTAAATTAACTTCAATTAGGACATACAACATAGATATCAGAAAATTTGGAACTTCTAGAAAATCGAAAAACAACTCGGAAAGGAACACGTCGCCTAAATAGCCATTTAAACTTTCTTTAAGTAATACTTGTAGGAATCGCGAGGACATGTTAGCATGCGAGTATATTTGACCTTAGATGGTTAAAATATGCATGATTATAATATCAAAAGGGCAAGTTGGATGAGAATGCAATGAATGAGGTATAAATTACTAAAATTCTCCTAGGATGAGATTTTTATATGCATGCTATTTTTGATACTTTCCGCTCTGTTAGAAGGGAGGAAGGGATATTGTGATCTATGCTTTAGGTGATTGATCAACGTTATCTTCTCGTTGAGCTTGCATGAATGTTCAAGTATTATATTTTGTGCTTTAGGGGACCGATAGGATTATCTTCCTAACAAATCATGCATGAATTTACTAAGTTAACATCTGGACACTAGAGATAGGATGGTTTAATGTTGATCTAGGTCAAATCGTTTCTAATAGATTGAGCATCCTAGGATCGTGAATGACGATTTGTGGGCGAATTATAACACTTCTAGGAATTATATACCACCTAGGTATTCTATGAACCTCAGAAACCTCAACAACCACTAACAATGACTAAGAAAATTTACTAAGGAGCAGTATGAACGATATCCCCGGAGCCAAAATCACTTCCTATTTTCTCGGGTACTTTTTAGCACTCTTTGTCAACCAAACTCAAACCAAGGAGTTCCCCTACCAAGCAGTAGGTAATCAAGAACCTGTACAGTACAGTTGAGCTTGTCCCAAATCAATCATACATGATAGTTTGACAAGGCTACTTAAGTTGCTATCGTGTATAAAAATGGGTCAAAGGTTGAGGTCATGATTCTGCAAATCAATATTGAGAGGGAACTAGAGATTACATGAGTAGTTAGCTCAAGATGAGTGTCCCGAGTGTGTGTGAAAATAGCTCTAACCTCCTAAATAAAGTTGTGCGGTTGTAAATTCATCTAAATGGACGAGCCACCATGCAGCTAAACCTAGTAGTCCGCTGGCACACACATCTCTCCTTTAGATTTAGGGGGATTTCGTGGTCATGTGCTAAGGGTCCATATGATGTCATACTGTCCAAACATATATGATGATGTTGCGCTCAACCCAAAATACCAGTAGATCACTGTTGTGGTAATGCAAGTCGACTAAGTCAGAAAAAAATAATAAAAATAGTTCATCCCAAGGTAAGATAGGCTATCCATCCCGTAGATTCGCAGCCCCAAGTAAACATCCTCTAAACACCGAGTGATAAAATAAATTTATAATATATATGCAAGTGCAAACTACATTTTATGTTCTAAAAAGAATTTCCAATTTCAGAGCAACATCATAATCCTGAACTCATCAAAACAGAGAACTCCATCGCCATTGACATCAAACTTAGCGATCATTCTGTTGCAATCCCCGATGCTCCTCGATTGCCCCAGCTGGCTCAGCATCCGCCGCAGGCTCACCGCCGTAATCACACCCAATCCCTCCATTTCATACATCTTGAAAGCCTCCTTTATCTCCTTCCCCTCTCCATCCCCATCCTCCACCAACCTCTCAAACTCCGCAATCTCCAATAGCCCGTCGTCGTCGGAATCGTAGGCCGCCACCACCGCTGCCGCCTCCTCCTCCGTGAGCTCCTCCCCTGTCACCGCCGCGAACCGGGTAAGCAAATCTTGAGAGGAGACCTTGCCGTCGCCGTCGGAGTCTATACTGTTGAACACTCTCTGGTAGCGCGAGAATTGGGGCATCTCCAGGACTTGGGGAAGATTGATTTGTTTTGGGTGATGAATTTGAGTTGGAGGTGTTTATGTAGAGGGAATTTGCGCGTTGGGATTGCGTGTAAATACAGAGATAACGAAGGGGATGAGGAAACTGGTTTGATCCGTGGACGCGGTGGACGAGAAAAGAAATTTCTATAATAAATCATTATTTGAATTTGGGTTGAAACTTTAAATAAATCATTGTATGAATATTAAGATTACAATAAGAATATGGATAATTGAAGTTTAATGTTGTGAATGGAACATTAGAGAATGTGGTGGAAGCTTCCAGCAGCACTGAAAAAAAGAAAGAGAAGACCATTACACTTTTCTTCTCTTTTTTTTTCATTGGAAGGAAACTTCCTGATTTCTTCAAATTCTAAGAACCAAACTTTAATTTTAACACCAAAACTTTTAAACACAACAACCATAACTTTTTAACCAAATTCTAAGAATCATTTTGGGTGTTTGAATTATTCTGAAAGATATGATTTTTGAGTTGTTGATTTTCATTTTCTTTCAAATTATGAAATTTTAGTATATTCAGATTGGAAGAGGGTGTTTCAAAGTAAAAAAATTTGTAAGTTCTTAGTTTTGGATGAGTTGGAGTATTTCTTGGTGTGATTTATTAAAAAATTTATGAAAAATACCTATTACTTTCATAAAGAAATCATTATGGTTCGAGATTTGTAATAGAAGTTATGAAAATGTTAAGAAATTATGTGTTAAAGAATAAGAAATATAATTAGGATCAAAGGCATGTGTTCTCATTGATATTCATAAGCTTTAAATAGGATACAAGTGAGCAAGGAAAATATAAACTAATTAAATATGGAGAATAAAATAAAATATACTATAAATCAAATCATAAAGAAAGAATATTAAGATATAATATCTAAGATATATTCCATAAATAATATATACTCAAAATATTATATCTCAACACTTCCCTAAAGTTGGAGAGTGTATGTTAATCACATTCAACTTGTCTTTACGAGTGTAGGTCAATAACACTCAAGTTGTCTTTACGAGTGTAGGTCAGTAACACCAAAGTTGTCTTTGAGAAGAGAGTGTAGGTCAATAACACTCAACTTGTCTTTGAGAAAAGAGTGTAGGTCAATAACACTCAACTTGTCTTTGAGAAAAGAGTGTAGGTCAATAACACTTTTGTCTTCCCAGTAGTGAAAATAGAGAGTGTGGGTCAATTACACTTTTGTCTTCCCACTAGTGAAAATATCCGTCAAGTTAACTCTAAACAAGTATTTGCTGATGATATAGACACATTGGTTTGCCTTTTAGACTTTCAAAAAATTATTGAATTTTCAAGAAATATGCAAAACCAAAAAATAGACTACCTTTGATTGGTTTGCATTTTTAGACTTCTCAAGAAATTATTGAACTTCCCAAAAAGATGCAAAACTCAGAAATAGACCGTCTTTGATGTATCTCAGAACTTGAAGAGCTGCTTCTTGATTTATGCATAAATTGACTAAGCATACGAACTGAATACACTATATCAGGCCTAGTAACGGTTAAATGTATTAATCTGGCAACCAACCGTCTGTATTTACTTGGATCGTTCAACTTTTCTTCTTCTGTTAAAGAAAGTTTCAGATTTTGCTCCATAGGAAATTTTTTTGGACATGCTCTTGTAAGACCTGTGTCTTGAAGAACGTCTAGAGCATACTTCCTTTGAGACATAAAGATTCTTCTAGACCTAGAAAATTCAATACCTAGTAAATATTTCAAATTCCCTAAATCTTTTATAAGGAATTTCTCGAGTAAACTAGTCTTGAGATGTTGAATTTCTTTGAGATCATTGCCTGTCAACAGAATATCATCAACGTAGATAAGAGCTGCAGTGAAAGAAGTACCTTTACTCATAGTAAATAAAGAGTAATTTGCTTTGGACGGAGTGTAGCCTGCATTTTGTATAGTGGTAGAGAATATGGAGAACCAATTGCAAGAAGCCTGTTTTAAACCATAAAGAGATTTATGGAGCCGACATACTGTATTCTCCCCCTGTCGGCGAATACCTGGTGGTAAAGACATGTAAACTTCATCATCTAGATTACCATGGAGAAAGACATTTTGAACATCCAACTGATGAATGAACCATTTTCAAGTAGCGGCAATAGGGAGTAAGCAACAAAGTATAGTAAGTTTTGCTATAGGAGAAAATGTCTCTTTGTAATCAACATCTTCAACCTGAGTGTATCTCTTTGCTACCCGTCGAGCTTTATGACGTTCAACAGAACCATTAGAGTTGTGTTTAATCTTGTACACCCAACGACAACCAATAGCTTTATGGCCAGGTGGTAGAGGAAATAGAGACCAAGTATGATTACGTTCCAAAGCTGCAATTTCATCATTCATAGCCTACTACCATAATGGGTTGCCAACTGCCTCATCATAGGTTTTAAGTTATGTCTAGGCTGTAATAAGAGCTAGAAAAGCACGTTGAGTAGGAGAAAAATGAGAGAATGAAAGGTAATGATGTAGGGGATACCTAGTGCCAGTGTTGGGACTTGAGCTAGAGGTTAAATGATTGGCTTCAGAAGACATATCATAATCATTATAACAAGCAGGAGGTTGTTTGGTACGAGTAGAACGTCGGAGTGGAACTGATGTATCAGGTGGGATAAAATTAGATTTAGTAGGTGAATCTGGAACTGATGAATTTGGAGAAGGACTAGAAGGCGGAGGAGACAACGAAGGAATAGAAGGATTAGAATGAATGTTTGAGTAGGATGGATCATGAAATGGTAAAATGGGAGTTGAAGGAGCTAATGTCAAAGTTTGTGAAGTTGATGAAAAAGGAAAATCATCTTCACAAAATTTAACATCACGATTAATAAAGAATTTTTTAGATTGCATGTCATACAACTTGTAACCTTTGTGACCACAAAGATATCCTGTGAAAACACAAAGAATTGCCCAAGGTTCAAATTTTTGATTAGGATGTACTACAGTTGCATAACACTTACAACCAAAAACTTTGAGATGGTGAAATGTAGGTGGTCGTTTGTAGAGTGCTTCAAAGGGTGTTTTGTTAGATAATAATGGTGATAGTGTTCTATTTATAAGATAAACCGCAGTTAAAGTGCATCCTCCCTAAAAATTAAATGGAACCTGTGACTAAAAAAGAAGAGACTTAGCTACATTTAGAATATGACGATGCTTACGTTCTATGACTCCATTTTGTTGTGTAGTATAGACACAAGTGCGCTGAAATTCAATGCCACAAAAAGTAAAAAATGGTTGCAAATGTAACGACCCTAAATTTCCACATATCTAGAGTCGCCACTAACGTCTCATGATCATCTCTAATGCAGAATAAAAACCTAAGCATGCTCATCTTTATTAGCGGAAAAAAATTTAAAACTTCAGAATACATTAAAACATTGGAAAACACTGCCGGACTTGTGTGTTTCAAACATCATGCTGGAGTTCAAAAAGATAAAATAAAACGATTACAAATTAATTAATATAAATGAATGAAATGCAAACGCCCTATCCTAACCAAGACTAGGAATTAAATATGCAACTATCCTATACACGCACCACAGTCTCTGATCACGATGCCACCGTCAACAGTACATGGGAGCCTTGCCTTTACCTGAAAAACAATATGGCACACGACAAGAAATATTCAGTAAGTGACCCCACTATAGGGGCCATGCTAATGCAAACACATGCAATCATGAATAGGGACCTATCTCTAATCATCTTAGGGGTGGCCTCTAGTCTCGGACAAATTGGATGTGTAGTACTTCCCTACACACGACTCACACGTGCGAGTGTGAGTCCCCAGGGCACTCGCACACCCCCTGGACCCTCTGGTCAAGCTAATTTGTAGCGACGTCCGGAGGTCAGCGGAACCCCATAGTGTCATGCGCCTCATGAACACCCTCATCTGTGTGCTTTCGCACCTGTGCGCATTCACGCTCATCATAAGGTGCGCGTCCGCACTCATCATCTCTAGGGGAAGTAGCCCTATGCTTATGAACATACAAAATGCATGAGGTCCCTCTAAATCCATCGTAATGTCTCTTCTGACACAACCCTCTAGTCTCATCTCTTTGTTACTCTAGGTAACGCATACTCGTGGATATTTATATTAATATCATTTTCATGCTCTTAGGGTTGTGTCCTACGTCGATCTAACGACATG